AAATACAAAGACTCAGTTGAAGACATCAGTGAGATGTCAGACAATACAGAGGGCTCAAGTGACTGAAACAACAATGGCTCAGTGAGTGAGAAGACTCATATGAGGCTTGAAATTGCAAGACTTCAGCATGAGATTGAGTGTATGAAGATTAGTAGAAGTGAGACTCTTGTAAGTGATGAGATGAGAGTGAATCTGACAGAATACCTTCAATAAAAAGAGAAGACATCTGTTATAATGAAAGTTCTTGAAGAATTCAGAAGCTAAGTAAGACTCATCAAAAGACTGATAGTTCTCACTGAATTCATTAACTACTCAATGTGAAGAGAGGAAATTCTTTTAACTGCAGAGCAGTCTGAAATCAATGATATTCTTGAAGATAATGATCTTGATGAGAATGTCACTATGAATATGCAACATTTCTGAAAAGAATGCAATCTTTGATTATACAATTACATATGGTCTGCAATTGCTCTGCAGGCCAAGGCTCATTTCACTATACTCAAGAAGTTCAAATTATCAGCTTATACTCTATGAACTATCATAGAGAATAACTTTTCTGAGAGGTCTGCTGTATGTAGAACTTGTTTATTTAAAGAGCTTATTGAAATAATCTTTAAAAGCAAAGAATCTGACAGAGCTTTCATTGAACAATTAATTATCATCAGAACTGATTATATTCATCTGAGATATAAGATTGAAGATGTTGTGTTTTTTGATAGATTACTGACAGAAGTCAATAGAGGTTGAGCATTCTTCATAAAGAATAGAATGAACCAGATTGATAAGAACAATTCAAGATCTTTAGAAGAAGACTTCATGAGGTTATACTGTGACATACTTCTACACCTTTCTACTGCGGAAAATAGTAGTACTGAATTCATGAAAAATCCCGTGAATAACGCTCAAGACAAGGATAAGAAAGGCAAGGACAAAGACAATGACAAGGACAAGAACACTGAATTCAAACCTGAATGTAGAGGTAATGATGTGAGGACCTGCTATCATTGTCAAAAGGTTGATCATATTCAGACTGACTGTTGGAAGAAATACTCTGAGAAATGTCCTTCAAACTTCAATATGAATAGGAACAAGGATAAAGACAAGGATGCGGAGAATACAGGTGCTGCTCCTGTTCACAATGTCATGAAGCAAGTATTTTGCATCAAAGAAAAGGCCTATGCGAGTGGCCAGACAGGAAAAGATACCTGAATCCTAGACTCTGAATCAGGCGCCCACGCCACACCCCACAGAGATCTTGTCATGGCAAAGCCTCAGAAGGTGAAAGTGATGTTGAAAATGACAGATGAAATGATAGTCTCTGCTGCAGCTATAGAAGATATGAAGATTCCAGTGAAAGAGATGAATATGCTGTTAAATGATGTCTGCTATATCTCAAAATTGAAAGTGAACCTTATGAGCATGAGTAAGCTTGTACATCAAGATTATATCTTCAAACAACTGACATATGGAAATAATCACATCATATTGCTTATGTCTTCTGATAGGATGTTCTTGTTTACTGCAAGATTGAATGACAGAGATATCTATGAGATAGAAAAGCCAGTCATATACAGAGACTTGATTCAATTTACTATACTCAATGATGATTTTGAATCTGTGAATACACTGTGAATAAAGAGTAATGACACAATATTAACACTATCTGAAAGAAATGATACAAAGATTATAGAACTTACAATAATGCAATGATATCAAAAGCTAGAACATCTGAATCCCGCGAATATCACAAAAATGATGACAGATTCATGACTAGGAATGAGAATAAGAGATGACAGAGCTTTGCCATTCTGCAAGACCTGTGTACAGGTAAAAATGACATGTTCAATATTCACATCAATGACAAGAACTATCAAACCTGTAATGAGATTCTTCATGGACCTTGCAGATGATGGCTGCACACTATATGATGAAGCCAACCTCTCTACTCAAGAGAGAGCTAATTATTGAATGAGCATTACAGATGATGCTACATGCTACAGGTGAATTATTCTTATGATATCAAAGAGTGAGGTCACTGCATGTTTGATGACCTTTATTGATGAAATTGAGACCACTACTCAATGCTGAATTGAAACCCTACACTGAGATGATGAAGAAGAGTTCAAAAGTCAAGAACTTAAGGCCTACTGTCAGAGCAAAGAAATAGTGTATGAAACAACTACATCTGATACATCATAATCAAATGACTCAGCAGAACACGCGAATTGAATAGTTGCAGAGAAGACAAGAAGCTTGCTATTTAATAGTGAGCTGGTGAAAGAGCTCTGAGATGAGGTAATACAAGCTGTGATTATGATGATCAACACATTCTTAACATCAACAAAGATATTTGAATGCAAGAAAGAAACATCACTTATACCTTTTAAAGTATGAACTGAGGTGCAACCTTCTGTTCATTGAATATGAAGATGAGGGTGCAAGGTCTACAAGAAGGATTTGAAAGTGTTAAATAAGCTCACAGATAGAACTGACAGCAGGGAATGACAGCTGATTGAATATCAAGAATTACACCAATATCATGTATGAGATTCTGTTGCACATTGTCTTGAGATTGCACAAGATGTCATATTTGATGAAGCTCTTGACATGAGTGCAAATACATCTATAAACATAGTGAGAGAATTCAATGAATTGTCTAATGAATTGAACATTCTGAATGTCAGAGAGAAATGACAGCACTGCTTACTATAACACCTAGTAAAGAAAAAGTCAGATGTTTTGAAGATGATTATCAATGAGAACTTAGAGAATGCAATTGATTCAATCTATCTTCTAAATAATAAGACACAGCTTGTCATGAATGAAGAGTCTGAAGACTCTGTTAATGAGAATGATTCTGTTCTAAGTGTTCTGACAGATCAATCAACTACACTGATGAAAGTCAAAAGAAGCTCAGACTGAGACTATTAGCATGAGACAATGAAAAAGAAGATTAAGATATTTAAATAGAAGAAGACATATATTATTGTTGAGAAGGCCCCAGAAATGAATATTCTTACAGATAAATGAGTATATGATTGAAAATTCAACAATAAGAGAGAAATCATTCACTTTAGAGCTTACTGAGTGATTAGAGAGTTCTTGCAACAGCAGAATATTCATTATACAAGATCATATGCTGCAGTGATATCAGAGTCTACATCACACAGTCTATTCACTATATTAACTGTCAAAGGATGAAAGGTCAAATCAATTGACTATGTATTTGTGTTTTTAAATGACATACTATCACAGAATGAGATGATCTATATGCAACTGCTCACAGATGTTAAGCATAGCAGAGAGGGCTTGATGAGATTACTCTGCCAGAGTCTATATGAAATGAAGCAAGTCATGAGAGTATGGTATTTCCTAGCAATGAAACATCTCACCACATTGAGATTCAAGATATTATCTTATGATGGTGAATTTCTATATCACTCTGTTCACAAGATCTATCTGACATTGCATGTTGATGATTGTCAGGTGATGAGATCTTAAGAACAGTAATTAGACTGAGTATTGAGAGAGATTGCAAAGAGATTTGAGACAAAGAATGTTGAAGAGACTAAGTCATATCTTGAAATGAAGATCAAATGCCAGAGAAATGATGATCTAGCAGTTACACAGAGCTGTTATATTGAGAAGATTCTGGAAGATTTCAGCATGAATAAGATAAATCTGGCTGACACTCTGATGACAGCTGGTATATGACTGGAATTCTCACCTGATGAGGAAGAGGGATTGAATGATGACTTTACAGCTACAAGATATTATCAAGAATTGAGATCATTGCAGTATTTGATCTCAAGCAGCTGGTCAGACCTGACATTCATGATCAACTATCTCTTGTGTTTTAACTTGTGTCTGCACAAGGCATGTTGAGCAGTGTTGAAGCATGTTCTATGTTATATCAAGAAGATGAAAAACCATGGCATATTATACAGGAAGGAGATCAGTGATATGAGCCTGAGTTCTGTGATATACTGCAATTCGAACTGAGTGAGAGTGAATCCTCAATACAAATCAACTACTGACTACATTATATTGATTAACAGGTCACTGATCTCATGGCGGTTGCAGAGACAGACATCTATCATTAAATCAATCACAGAAGCTGAATATATTACAGCTAGTGAGACAGCTTGTGAGATAATCTGATTGAATGATATGTTATATGATGCTGAGTTGATGAATGATGAAAAAGTGAAAATATGCTCACACCTACAAGTTGACAATAAGAGAGCAATTGATCTAGCAAAAGGAGAGTCCTTAACACAAAGGTCACACCACATTGAGATTAGATATCATATTCTCCACAATTTGGTTGAAAAAGGGGAAATCATGATGGAACATGTTGGTTCTACAGTGAATATAGCTGACAGGCTCACCAAGCCACTGACGAAGCCTGCATTTGAAGAATTTGTCAAGAGGGTTGGCATTCAGGAAATTGAGAAGAAGGAATGATTGAATGGTAATGACAATACAGCGGATCAATGGATTTTGCATGTATTTCTTGATTTTTACGGTTATTGCCATACAGACGCCTTTCCTAATGAGGAAATCAGGGTCTGATTGATGTAATTAATTATTATTGCATTTTTGAAAGATTTGAGGATGGGGGAGGCCTCGGGTGGCGGCTCATAGGCCACGGTGTAGCAAGGGGGGGTGTTGGTGATTACTACACCTACCCTAGTCACGTGCCACCCCAACCTATTCATTTAGTGTAACTCGCGTAGTTAGATTACAACACAACAACGTTATCCTCCAAGATATCATTATATGATTTCTGTTATCATTGTATAACTCTGATGATGATCACTCTCTCTTTTATTTCTTTAAGTGAAGAGTAGTCTTCTTTGAATCTGATTCATCACTCTCATTTCTTTTCTCACACCTCATTCATTTGCATACATGGTATTCATTGTTGGAGCTACTACACAAGCCCTAACCCACGTGACTCACACACATATATTTAGCTTCCACTAGCTACTAGTTAGATAATAACAACCAACCACATTCAACCTCTCTCACAGGTTATGAAGCCCTTGCACTTCTACGAAGCATTATAACCATGCAATAATCATACAATAAGCTTTTCAAATAGCTGCTTCTTTCATTCAAATACCCCATGCCAAATGCCTGTCAATATGAGATTGATCAACCGCGAAGAGACTACAGAGAATCAGATAGCTGGATCCTTTTCAACATCAATAACCGCGCGAAGACAACGCAATAATCAAGCCCAAGATAATCCTCCAGAACGCGAAGATATGAAAGATCATGATGAACCAAGCTGCTGGTTTGAACACCCAGAGAAACGACCTGCGGATTGGAAGAATAGAAAGAAGGTCAATGATGATGATGCCGCTACACCTGTATGCTACAATACTGAGCAAGTCTTCTAATGATGCTCATGATGACCGCCAATATCGAAGCCAAAACGATGGAAATACCGATAACGATGCCAGGCCCCAGTGCCTATATGATGCCAGGCCACAGTGCCTATATGATGCCAGGCCACAGTGCCTATATGATGCCAGGCCACAGTGCCTATATGATGCCAGGCCTCAGTGCCTATATGATGCCAGGCCCCAGTGCCTACGATGCCAGGCCCCAGTGCCTATATGATGCCAGGCCCCAGTGCCTACGATGCCAGGCCACAGTGCCTATATGATGCCAGGCCACAGTGCCTATATGATGCCAGGCCACAGTGTCTATGATGCCAGGCCCCAGTGCCTATATGATGCCGGGCCACCGATTGCCCATATGATGACCTATGCCGATGACCTATGCCGATGACCTATGCCGATGGCCTATGCCGATGACCTATGCCTATGCCTATGACGATGAAAACCACAAAAATAATAAGAATGAGATCCCGCGGCGTTAGAACAACTGGGGGTAATACCAATACTGAAAGGACGGATTTGGGCGTTCTTCTTGCATGTTTTTTATGTTTTTTCATGTATGGAGCTAGTCATTATGAGGAAACTAGACTCTACTTTTTGTAATTAATTTTTATTGCAGATTTGAATGATTTGGGCGCTTTTGACTGCGTGGGTTAACTGGCCTGCGTAGCATGGGAGAGTGTTGAAGCTACTACACAAGCTCTAACCCACGTGACCCACACACATATATTTAGCTTCCACTAGCTACTAGTTAGATAATAACAACCAATCACATTCAACCTCTCTCACATTCATCTGAGTGTGAAGTTTTCCCTTAATAAGCAAAGCAGTATTAATCAGATACTCTTTCACTCACTGCTCTTTATATGCTATCTTTTTGAGATGTTCTAGAATCACACTGACATGATAACTATGAATTACTTTGTAGATGAAATTATCATGCTCTGAAGAAGCCTGCACTTCTCACTGGTTTTTAGACATGCTACTAGATGTGATTCAAAGGTTTCTTAAGCCAGTGTATAATTACAGGTGTACACTGACTTCTTATATATTGTAATATCATACACTAAATTAATTAGCGGCTGCTATGACCTCTTTACACTTGTACGTGTACACTAGTAGTTCGGAAGCGGCCGCGTTATTATCCGACGGTCATACGTTCTTCTGAATCATAAGTGTAAATACATCTGTAAATACAGTGAGAGAATTCAATGAATTATCTAATAAATTGAACATTCTGAATATCAGAGAAGAATGACAGCACTACTTACTATAATATCTAGTAAAGAAAAAGTCAGATATTTTAAAGATAATTATTAATAAGAACTTAGAGAGTGTAATTGATTCAATCTATCTTTTAAATAATGAGATACAGCTTATTATAAATGAAGAGTCTGAAGACTCTGTTAATGAGAATAATTCTGTTCTAAATATTCTAACAGACTGATCAACTACACTGATGAAAGTCAAAAGAAGCTCAGACTGAAACTATTAACATGAGATAATGAAAAAGAAGATTAAGATATTTAAATAGAAGAAGATATATATTATTGTTAAGAAGACTCTGAAAATAAATATTCTTACAGATAAATAAGTATATAATCAGAAATTCAATAATAAGAGAGAAATTATTCACTTTAAAGCTTACTGAGTGATTAAAGAGTTCTTATAATAGCTGTAGTGTACGCCGCTACATAGGGTCAGATATAAGGGTAAAAACTTGTCTTATTCTCTTAAAGATGAGAGATGAGTGTACACTCTTATATATACAGTGATTGTTCTATAGAGATTAGCTCTTGTAGAAGAGGTGATCATCTATGAAGAAAAGAACAGAGGCTCTGTAGAGAAGGAGTGAACACTCTCATAGAAGAAGCAATTATATATGAAGAAAAGAATGAAGGCTCTGTAGAGAAGAAGTGAAAGCTCTCATAGAAGAAGTGATCACATATGAAGAGAAGAACAGAGAAAGAAGATAGGAGCAGAAGCTTCAGAAAACAGTAAGAAATAAAGCAGAAGCTAGAGCTGAATAGGGAATTGACTTGAATAGAGAGTGAAAGCATGTCACAGTCCCTCTATTCAAAAGAATGCATTCGCAGAGAAGAAAAAAATGACATTGAAAAAAGATGACAGATATCGCGGGTGCTAGGCTCAAAGAAGTGAATATTGTTCAGAAGTGCTAGTCTGTTTATATATGCTGCAGATATCATAGAAAAGAGGAGACTGAGTGATAGAATTGCTTATTCATACAAAGAGTGATCAGATGTAAGAATTGTTTGTCTCTATAAAGAGTAAAAGATGTAAGAATGACTTGAAAAGAAATAATAAGAAAGAGACAGAAGTTCTTTAATCTAAAAACAGCTGTAAGAAAAGAAAGAAATTGTAAAGAAATCATAAGAAGCTTGAATGAGAAAGAGTTCTTTGATGAGATAGATGAGAGTGAAAGTTTCATTGTGATAGAAGAAAGATTCTGTGAGTGATAGAGATTGATGTAGATGAATGATCACATTAATATATATATCACAATCACTTTCTTCTTATTCTTCTCTTATTTCTCACACATCTTGCTAAAATTTAACATAGCAGAATTAGCAAAAATCACAACATATAAAAGATTAGATCACAGAAACAATGAGTCTCAAGAAGAAGTCAACAGCTGTGAAGACAGGTGCAGTGAGCATGATAAAAAAGGCCTTGACCTTAGAGAAATTATTTCAGTCATTAAGTCAGAAGAAGTGTGATGCCCTTCTTCATATGAGTGATAGAGAAGAGAAGATGAGTGAGAAGACTAGTGAAGAGAGAACAGGTGAGAATGAGATGAAAGAAAATAATGAAGATGAAGAGTTAGAATTTCAAATAGATAAGCTTTCAACACTATCAACTTATCTTTTCATATATGAAGTAATCAAAGATCAAGATAAAGAAAAGACAGTGATATTTCATCATTACTCAGCTAGACTGCATGATGCTGCTGCAGAAGAGTCAACAGATGAATCATATAATAGAAGCTTGAAGAGTCAAGAAGAGTCTAAGACTGTGACACAAAAGCTTATAATATTATTTACTCATTTGAAAAAGTCATGACCATTCATACACCAGTTTTCAGAAGAAGATATCAAGATGAATGAGAGAGAAGAGAGTCAGAAGACTGCTGTAGAAGCAGTCAGTGATAAAGAGCTGTAAGTAGAACTGAAAGCAGAAGCTGAATGAGCAGGTATGAATACTGAAGAACTGTCATCAATAGAAGAGAACAAGAAGTACTGAAGAGCTAGTCAGAAGCAATATGAGACTCTGAATGACAATATTTTAAGAAAGTCAGAGTGAAAGAAGAATATTGAGAGTGATCAGATGCCTTAACTGTATAACATAATATGTATAAGACATCTGCATCACAATAACAAGACTGACTTACACTTTCAGCAGAATGACAAGCTCACTCATCTGAGCATGTCAATCATGCAGAACCTGACTGTGAAGAGGCTTGCAAATACTGTCTCAATCATTGAAAGACTCACAGAATGTAGTGAGAAGATGTCATTTATCAATCATGAATTTTTCATTTTACTCAGTCAGTGATTGATTAAAGATTTGAGATAGTTATCTGTTAAGTGAAAGTTGTACTGATAAATGAATAATGATGAGCTAATCACTTCACAGATCATTAATTCTAAGAATTTCACTAATTAAGATATCATTATTCTGCAGACCTGCAGAGAAATAGCTTCTATGTCATGTCAGTGTTGTGTGAAGAGTCAGAGATGATTTAAGAAATGTGTGATCATCTCTGCAGATGACAAACAGACACAGCAAGGACATGACACTTGCATTAACTATCAGTGAGAAAATAAGAGGTTCTGCTACTCTTTAAATTATCATAGCTGATATAAACTCAGACAAAACACAGATAACTTGCTGTTTGAAGAGAGTGTGCCTAGATTTGAAAAGACTGTAGCTGAGAAGATGAATGTTAATAACATTATTAAGATCAGTGATACAGAGAAGAAGAACAATTCAATTATAGTTCTAATAAAGAGAACATCTACATCTTTTAAGCATAAGATATTGAGTCTGATTGCATCAAAACTCTTGAAATGCATTCAAATCAGTGAGTGAAGCATCTCAACACCTGTGAAGACAGACAGTGAGATGAAGACAAGTCATTCAACCTCTGCTAAGATGATTAACAAGGCTAAGATGAGCAGTGTATAACAGTCATTGATTCTGTCTTCTGAAGATCACATGATCAATTGTAGAGCTCAAGATCTGAAGATGCTGAGATGACTGCCTAATCTTGACAAGTATAATCTGAACACTGTTCAGGCTGTGTGAAAGGAACTGAACAAGATAGCTGAGTTTATCAATGTGATTTCAGCTGCAGGGAATACTGTGATCAATAATCATTTCTTTAAGTTGCTCAGTGAGGTGTGTTTCAGCAATCTTGTAGATAAGAAATTATCAGCAGATGTTGCATTTTGAGATGCATGTCTCACTGAGCAGAAGGTCAAGCTGCAGAAAGAGCTTGAAGATGATTGATAAGAAAAGACAGAATGAAATGATGAAAAGAGTGAAAGATGATGATTTTCTTGTTTTCTTTATTTTCTCATTTAATAGCTAAAATTAGATTGCAATATATTTCCTTTCTTTCTTTCACTCTGTCTCTATTTTACTTTTCTTTCTATCATTTACTCGGCTGATCACAAGACTTCTTGGTCATAAAGACCTTGACCAGGTGTGAAGTGTCTTATGCAATGACTTCAAGAGACTCTCAGATCAGATTTTCATATCTCTTTCACTTAATCTGAAGATAAGTCTTACTGTTCTCTGTGCACTTTCTTATAATGTTTTCAACTTCAAATTGTGACTGATCATTAATAAGTACTGATTCTGATGATAAGTGCTTCATATTCACTTCTGTTAACACAGTCTTTTTCAGATGAATAATGAAGATTACTGAGTGCATTCATCAATCAGCTAGCAGTTTCAATTGAAATACAGCATCTGATACTTTCTGAAGAATATGAAATGAGCCTACTCATAAGAGTGATAGCTTAAACATCTCTTTTAACATGTAGTTCTTTTGAGCTTTTTAAGTGAGGTTCAAGAAGACTCAATCATCAATCTGAATAGTTGATTGAAAATGAAATCAGTCAAAGAACTCAGTCATTCTAGCTTTTATCAGAATGTATAAGTCAAGAACATCTTACTGCATCATATCTCATATGACAATGAACTCAGCTACATCTAGCAGAGCTTTCTCATTATTCAATGACAGCCATCTAGACTTTACACCTGTGAGTAATTCAAAGAGAGAGATTATTACTGACTATGCAGCTACTGAGTTTAACACTCTTTTCACTTATTCAAGCAGAGCAGTTCAATTTGCTTTATATTCATCTATAAGAAGTATTCACAATGTGACTTCAACTGTGAGATTGATTTACTCACTTTGATCATTTAAGTAAGAGTTGTAGACAGTTGTCATTCATGTCTTAATTCTCATGAGTTGAAGAACTAACTTTCAAAATTGTGATGTAAATTTAAGATCTCTATCTGAAATAATCATCAGTGAGAACTGTCAGCAACAGACTATCTTCTTATAGAAGTCTTTCACTCATTATGAAGTATCTCATTGTTTCTGTTCTACAATTAGAATTACTGCTTTTAAAAATTTGTCTGTGACTGTTAATATAGTGTCACAATTGTTGCTCACAGATAATCCTGTAATAAAATCAATTGAAAGAACTTCAAACAGCTGTTTTGAGAGTAAGATGAGGTGTAATTTGCCCTCTGACAAGTGATTCAGCAGTTTGACTAGTTGATAATTGAGACATTGTGATAGATGATCCAGAATTCTCTTTCAGATATGAGAAAGAAAGAAGAACTGATGAATAAGGTTTTTCATTCAATGAAGACTAGAGTGACCTGCTGTGTTATGACATATATAGATGACATCTCATGCCAGTGATTTGAGAATACAGAGATGTAATTCTTCAAAGAATAATAGTCTGTTCTGCACTGTAAATGACTGATATCACTCTTTCTGACTGATCTTGCAAAAGACCTTTCTCAATGCTGAGTTGTGAAAAATATCTCAGTATAGTTGCTTTTTGAATTCATCAGTGAGCTCTATCACTGTAGTTGAAATCATATATATCTTCACTGAAGATGTGTCTGTCATTAGTTCATCTGTCTAATTGATGATAATCTGATAGATTTTTTTCTGCTCTTCAGAGAGAATCTCTTCTGAATTATTATCTAGACAGCATAATCTGAATAGAGTGTCAGCATTAGCATGTGTGATGCTCTTGTGATAGCAGATTGTCATTCATGAAAGATATAAGCTTAGAACTAAGGCTCAATTCATCAGTCAGTTGCTACAATAATCTATTGCCAACAACTGAAAAGTGAACACAAGAGCAACATAATTCATGACAACTGTAAACTTGTCATCTAAATACTGCAGTAATTTCCGCAGGGCTCATATGAGTTTAAGACACTTCAATTCAGTTACTCAGTAGCGCTTTTCAGCTGCACTCAATCAGTAAGAGAGAAATAGAACAGATCTTTCAATATTATTCATTCTGACTTAGTGTAGAGCTACTCTGATACCTCTTTACTTGCTGGCATTCACATACAATATGAAGAGATGTTTAAAGTCAGAATATGCCCAAGTGAAGGCGTTCATCAAGGCTTGCTTTATCATGTCAAACAAATGTCTGGCTTCCGCGAGCAGAGTGTGAAACTGCAGTGAGTTCTCAAATTTCATTAACTTAGTCTTAGCTGCATATGACACTCTTTTCTGACCTATTTTTGAATCATTATACAGCAACTTAATCTTGAGAGTCTCTAATACTTTCATCTGATCTGCATAAAAACTGACAAAATCACAATAATAATTGAAGAGGCTGATGATTTCTTCTAGTTCTCTGAGTGTTATAGAGAAGACTAGATTAGTAATAGCAGCTACTTTCTCTTCTTAAGTAGATATATCTAGTTAGCTGACATGATGATTCAGCAAACACACTGAGAAGTATGTGAAATGACATTTAGTTAATGACATTATTATCTCAGACATCTCAAGAGCTGTGAAGACTTGCTGCATATAATGAAGATATTCATTCAGTGAGTGAGAGAAGATGATGATGTCATCTACATAGACTAACACAAATTGTCATAGGAATTTCACTAGAATCTTCTTCATACACTGTTGAAAGAACTCAGGTGAGGTTGTCAATCTCATTGTAGTAACTGTAAAATGTTCAAGATCTCAGTGTAAGATTATAAACATGATTTTGAAATAATCACTCTGTTCAATTGCTTATTGAAAGAAGCCTTGATAAATATTCATGAATGAGAATATCATAGAACTGCTGAGTGATTGCAACATATCTTGTTATATCAGTAGAGAGTATGCATTGAGAAGTAAGTGTGTGTTTACTTTTCACAAATCAATCATCACTCTTGACTTCTCTCTAAGCCAGATCACAAAGACAGGTGAAGCAATGAGATTTCTGTCTCTGAGAGAAACATGTTTAATTCTTCTATCTTACAGAAGTGAGTTCAGAATCTGGTCAGTGACTTCATAATCTCTTTGAGACAGAGAATAGAGTCTCTGTTTCAGGCTGGAAAAGTTGCTCTCATCAATGAACTGCAGTGACATCTTAACATTATCTGAAAATAAGCCTAGGCTGAAGCTAAATAGTTTGTGATGTCAGTCAATGATCACTTGAATAACTGCTTAATCTTCTGCCACTCAGTGATCTGATACATTCACTTGAACTCACTCAGTGAGAGTGTCTGCTGTGGGAATTTGAAGTGAATTATCCTGATCTTTCACATCTGCCAAATGTAATTTGATGTACAAGATAGGAAACAGAGAGTCTTCTCAGTCAGAATGATGAATGATGTCAGCATTGATAATACAAATAGCAATCTTCTTTCACTGCTGAAGTGGCTGTGAGTTTGACAGATGTCTACCCGCGCAGATAGCATCTCTGATGATCTTGGCATTTATGAAATATCTTCTGTGAAATGTAACAAGTTCACTGTGAACATTGATAGTTGCTTTTACTGATGATAATACA